GCCGTGAGCTCTGGAGTCCTGGCCATGGCGCGGGGGCCGTGAGCTCTGCAGTCCTGGCCATGGCGCGGGGGCCATGAGCTCTGCAGTCCTGGCCACGGCGCGGGAGCCGTGAGCTCTGGAGTCCTGGCCATGGCGCGGGGGCCGTGAGCTCTGCAGTCCTGGCCACGGCGCGGGAGCCGTGAGCTCTGCAGTCCTGGCCACGGCGCGGGAGCCGTGAGCTCTGCAGTCCTGGCCACGGCGCGGGAGCCGTGAGCTCTGCCCTCCTGGCCACGGCGCGGGAGCCGTGAGCTCTGCAGTCCTGGCCATGGCGCGGGAGCCATGAGCTCTGCAGTCCTGGCCACGGCGCGGGGGCCGTGAGCTCTGTGTGTGGCGCCTGCCGCCCCCGCTCACTCCCTTCCGTCTGGCTTCCCGGTGCCAGCTGAGTGCAGGACCCAGCCCCGGAGCGCGACGCGGAGAACACACATGGTGTACTTTGTGCACGTGTGTTCCAGTGAGGGGAAAGAAGGTCCAAAACCAGCCGTGCCAGTGCCCTGGAGAGACGGTGGCACAGGGAGCAACGGAGAGACCTCAGCAAAGCGAGGGGGGTGTGCTGCAGGCTTGGGGGAGGCCCCGGGGTCCCGCTCCACCTGCTGGGCTGCCGCAGCAGAAGACACAGGTCAGAGCCCGGCAGGAGCCCCCGCTGGCGTCTCCCGGATGCCTGGGCTGGGATCCCAGGGTCAGAGCCCTGCCGATGGCTCCCAGAGCCTGTTTCTCGCTGAGTCAGAGTTGTGTTTCCGGGACTCAGTTCTGGGAGCGGCTGTGTTATCTCAGAAGAAGTTGTCATTTCTCAAAAGCCCATGAGTTTATTGCGGCAGAGATTGATAAATTCTGCGCACACCGGTACGCGTCACCCTTTATCTCGGAGGCTCTCAGAACTTGCCAGCCAAGCCCTGTGTCAGGAAACAGAGAAACGCTGCGCTGAGAAGGAGTCCATGGCACTGGACCTGTGGAATACACTCCAGGGGGGACAGAGGGAACCAGGCTCAGACAGTCAGCTCAGCTCCAATGGGAGCAGAGGGAACCAGGCTCAGACACTCATCTCCCATGGGGACAGAGGGAACCAGGCTCAGACAGTCAGCTGCAGGGGGGACAGAGGGAACCAGGCTCAGACACTCATCTCCCATGGGGACAGAGGGAACCAGGCTCAGACAGTCAGCTGCAGCAGGGAACAGAGGGAACCAGGCTCAGACAGTCAGCTTCAGTGGGGACAGAGGGAATCAGGCTCAGACAGCTCCAGGGGGGACAGAGGGAACCAGGCTCAGACAGTCAGCTCCGGGGGGACAGAGGGAACCAGGCTCAGACACTCAGCTCCCACGGGGAACAGAGGGAACCAGGCTCAGACACTCAGCTGCAGGGGGGACAGAGGGAACCAGGCTCAGACACTCAGCTTCAGTGGGGACAGAGGGAACCAGGCTCAGACACTCAGCTCCCACGGGGAACAGAGGGAACCAGGCTCAGACACTCAGCTTCAGTGGGGACAGAGGGAACCAGGCTCAGACACTCAGCTCCCACGGGGAACAGAGGGAACCAGGCTCAGACAGTCAGCTCCAGGGGGGACAGAGGGAATCAGGCTCAGACAGCTCCAGGGGGGACAGAGGGAACCAGGCTCAGACAGTCAGCTCTGGGGGGACAGAGGGAACCAGGCTCAGACACTCAGCTCCCACGGGGAACAGAGGGAACCAGGCTCAGACACTCAGCTGCAGGGGGGACAGAGGGAACCAGGCTCAGACAGTCAGCTCCAGGGGGGACAGAGGGAACCAGGCTCAGACAGTCAACTCCAGGGGGGACAGAGGGAACCAGGCTCAGACACTCAGCTCCAGGGGGGACAGAGGGAACCAGGCTCAGACACTCAGCTTCAGTGGGGACAGAGGGAACCAGGTCAACTCCCAGAGGGAACAGAGGGAACTAGGCTCAGACACTCTGCGTACCCTAGGGTGATAGGCTTTGTCCATTTCAACACTTTGCTGCAAATAGAATCGCTGGCATATCTTAGGATAGAAATGAAGTATAAAGATTATAATTTACAAATATTTTTAAAGTATTTAATGATTCAAATTATTTTTTGCAAAATTTCAAATTAAATACCTTTTATAGCCCTCCCCCCATAAAAAGGAGGAGGAGGAAGAGGAGGGGAGGGAGAGGAGGGGGAGAGGAGGGAAAAGAGGGGAAGGGGAAGGAGTTCCTAGGAATTGGCTTCTGGCTGCATGGTTCTTTGCATGGTTCTCATTTGCATGGTTCTCATTTGCATGGTTCTCATTTGCATGGGAGTTTGCACTGACTTTGCTGTGACCTGCTCACTGCCGGTCCATGGCTCAGTGCCGTGGTGGGGGGCAGGGAGACCCCACTGGCTTCCTGCCTCTTGTGTTTGATCCACGTTCACTCAGCGTGGTCTACCCTGCACACAGGACCTCAGGAACCAGCGAGCAGCTCCTGAACAGGGTGACCGGCTTCCGGCCAGGTGGGGCCAGGCACCCCTGCCGTGTTCTCTGTATGCCTGGGGTCCTGTGCCTCGTAGGAAACATAGAGGTGGCGGGAGACATGTGGCAGGGGGCCCCGGCTCCTGCTGGCTTGGAC